CATGGCGATGGCGGGAACGCCTGCAAGGAGTGGTGGAGCATCTCACGAGTGGTGGAGTGTCTCGTGAGTAACGGAGCACTGTTTCACAAGTGACGGAGCATCTCACAAGCCTTGCAGCGTCTCACAAGCGATGGAGCATCTCATGAGTGGTGAAGCATCATCTCACAAGTGGTGGAGCGTCTCATGAGTGATGGAGTGTCTTTAAATAATGGAGCATCTCACCAGTGATGGAGCATTGTTTCAAAGCAGTGGAGCATCTCATGAGTCTTGCAGCATCTCACAAGTGACAGACTGTTGTCTCACGAGTGATGGGAGTGTTGTCTCACAAGTGATGGAGCATCTCATGAGTGACGGAGTCTCTTGTGAGCAAGGGAATGTCTCAAGAGTGATGGGGATTCTTGTAAATGATGGAGCATCTCACGAGTGATGGAGCATTGTCTCACAAGTCATGGAGCATCTCACAAGTGGTGGAGTGTCATTTCACAAGTGGTGGAGCATCTCGTGAGTGATGGAGCGTTGTCTCACGAGTGATGGAGCATCTCATAAGTGGTGGAGCATCATCTCACAAGTGGCAGAGTATCTTGTGAGTGATGGAGCATCTTTAAATGATGGAACGTCTTTAAATGATGGAGCATCTCACGAGTGGTGGAGTGTCATTTCACTAGTGGTGGAACATCTTACAAGTGGTGCAGCGTCTTGTGAGTGATGGAGCGTCTTTAAATGATGGAGAGTTTTTAAATGATGGAGTATCTCACGAGTGACGGAGCATTATCTCACAAGTGATGGAGTGTCTTGTGAGTGGTGGAGTGTCATTTCACGAGTGGTGGAGCATCTCGTGAGTGATGGAGCGTCTTTAAATGATGGAGAGTCTTTAAATGATGGAGCATCTCACAAGTGATGGAGCATCTCACGAGTGGCTGAGTGTCATTTCACCAGTGGTGGAAAATCTCACAAGTGGTGGAGCATCTCACGAGTGGCTGAGTGTCCTCTCACAAGTGGTGGAACATCTCACAAGTGGTGGAGCATCTCACGAGTGGCTGAGTGTCCTCTCACAAGTGGTGGCGCATCTCGTGAGCGATGGAGCGTCTTTAAATGATGGAGCGTCTTTAAACGATGGACCATCTCATGAGCGACAGAGCGTTATCTCGCAGCTTGTGGAGCACCTCACGAGCCTTGCAGCGTCTCACAAGTGATGGAGCATCTCACGAGCGGTGGAGTGTCATTTCACAAATGCTGGAGAGTCTTGTGACTGATGGAGCACCTCTAAATGATGGAGCGTCTTTAAACGGTGGAGCATCTCACGAGTGGCGGAGCCTCTCACGAGTGGCGGACCGTCATTCCACAAGTGCTGGAGCGTCTCGTGAGCGATGGACAGTCTTTGAGCGACGGACCATCCGACCAATGGCGGAGCGCTACCTCGCAGCTCGTCGAGCAGCTCACGGGTGACGCAGCCCCCCCGCCCTCCCTCGAGCGGGCGGGGCTGGGGGCGG